AAAATCACTGCATATGGTGATTGCAGCTATGAAATTAAGAGACGCTTGCTCCTTGGAAGAAAAGCTATGACCAACCTAGACAGCATATTAAAAAGCAGAGACATTACCTTGCTGACAAAGGTCTGCCTAGTCAAAGCTATGGTTTCTCCAGTAGTCATGTGTGGATGTGAGAGTTGGGCCACTTTTTAACTGTGGTGCTGGATAAGACTCTAGAGAGTCCCTTGGACTGCAAGGAGATCCAACCAGTCCATCCTAAAGGAAATCACTCCTGAATATTCATTGGAAAGACTGAAGCTGAAGCTCCAATACTTTGGCCACCTGATGTGAAGAACTGACTCATCTGAAAAGACCCTGATGCTGGAAAAGATCGGAGGCAGGAGGAGAAGGGGATAACAGAGGATGAAACAGTTGGATGGCATCACTGACTCGATGGACACGAATTTGAGCAAGCTCCAGGAGTTGGTGATAGACACTGTGCTGCAGTCCATATGGTTGCAAAGAGTCGGACATGACTGAGCGACTGAACTGACTGTGACTGCATTTAGCGCCTACCCAGATATCCACGATTAGCTTCCCATCTCAAAATACTTAATTTATCACTTCTGCAAAGTCACTTTTGCCATATAAGGTAACATTCACAGGTTGCAGGTATTAGAACCTTATATCTTTGGAGCCATTATTCTATCACACTGATCTTATACAGAAAACACAAATACTTCCATGAAAGTCTAAAGAGACAAGCACAATTTACTGACACCTAAGAAACCAGAAAATTTGGAATAAACTCTCAATTTCATAAAGAAATTAATTACTTAAAGCTTTTGGATGCTACCCTATGGCCTTTTCTGACACTATATCCATAGTCCAGTTACCTCTCATCTGGCATTTTATCTTCCCAAAGCATGTCCTCTTCCTCTATTACACCTTTTAAAAGATAGCCTTGGGATACAGTTCACATACCATACAACCCACCTATTTAAAATGTACAAGTAAGTGGTTTTTAGTATATTTACAGATTTGTACAGCTGTCACTAGAGTCAATTTTATAATACTTTCATCACCTGTAAAGAAACTCTGAACCTTTTAGCTATCACCATTCACCTTCTACTCCCTGAAAATCATAATCCACTTTCTGTCTCTATAGATTTCTCTATTCTAGAATTTAATATTAATGATATCAAGATGTAGTATATGGTCTTTTGTGACTTTTTTTTTTTACTTAATTTTTTAAGGTTTTACTTAAAAGGTTTACTTAACCAAGGTTTACTTAATTTTAAAGGTTCATTCATGTTGCAGCATATACATTCCTTTCTATGGTCAAATAATATTCCACTTATGGCTATACCACCCTTCACTTATCCACTCCTCACTGATGGACATTTGGGTTGTTTCTACATTTCAGCAATTATGAATAATGCTGTTCCTTTATTATACTTTTTCTCCACTTTTGATGACATAAATATTAACTTTCCTCCAGAACTAGTCCTCTCATTTATTTTCCTTCCTCACCAATAGCTAAACTTTCTACTTCACAGTAACATTGTTTGAGACCAGTTTTTCTAGCATTGGTCAAATATGAATGCTATTTCCTTCCTTTAACATTTAATATGAGTTCTTACAAAGAATTATCTGCTTCTCATTGTCTGATTAGTTCTTCACTCTCCATAACTTTTGAACTCCATTGGTCCATTTTTCTATTCTAGATAGAATGTCAGAAGGATAAAATCTCTGAACATATGTTTTTTTCTGAACATATTTTAACTGTACAATGTTTATGGTGGTTTTAAACCTTCTGTGGGAAGAAATGTCTTAATGTATTTTGCATGACAGAACAGTATGCTAAGTTCTTTGAAATTCATTTAATAACCAAGATCCAAAACCCTCCTTGGTAACCAAAAAAAAATGGGATAGTAAGCCAGAAGAATCAGCTATATACCTTCAACTGTAACATACTCTTTGTTCGTTGATAGTGATTTCAAAGAGGTAAAAAATGTCCTTTGAAAAACAAAAGTGCTTTGGAGACTGAAATGAGTCACTTGCTTACTCATATTGGAAGATCAATTTTGGCTTTAATAACCAAACCTTAAAAACCAACTACCATTAGAAATATGTTTTCACAAAACAGATAACATCTATTAATGCTTTGGAATAACTTTTTTTTAAAAGGGCACATAACTTAACATCTTAAAATTTACAAAATCTTACAAAAAAACATAAAGTAAGATTCAAACATGAGGAAATAACCATGATAATAACAACTAGCACTAATACATCACTTATATGGCGGATGTTATAATAAATGCTTTACTTATCATGGTTTTCGGTGGGAACACTTAATGTCATCCAATGTTCATTTTCCTAAATTGTAACAGGTCCTTAGTGCACCCCAATCTATCAAAAACATATTGGAACATATAGTCCAAGGTGTGTGTGCTAAGTCTCTTCAGTTCAGTTAGTCAGTCAGTTCAGTTGCTCAGTCATTTCTGACTCTTTGCGACCCCAAAGACTGCAGCATGCCAGGCTTCCCTGTCTATCACCAACTCCCGGAGCTTGCTAAAACTTATGTCCATCGACTCAGTGATGCCATCCAACCATCTCATCCTTTGTCATGCCCTTTTTTTCAAATGAGTCAGTTCTTTGCATCAGGTGGCCAAGGTATTTTCACTTTAGTCGTGTCCAACTCTGTGTGACCATATGGACTGCAGCCTGCCAGGCTCCTCTATCCATGGAATTCTCCAGGCAAGAATACTGCAGTGAGTTGCCATTGCCTTCTCAGAGGATCTTCCCATAATGAAATGTAACATTAATTCCCTAGGGATCCTAATAATGTTATAAAGATCTAGCCATTTCTTTAAAAAAAAATAAAACTTATTTGACGAACTCAGTAAACCAAATCGACATGCCTTCCCTCATGATACTTGTCATCTGAAAGGTTCAGTCACAGCTTTTACAGACTCATGCTTCATAATCCATATCATTCTTGTCAGTGACAGACAGTGTTTTCATTGTTTCATTTTGCTGAATTTCTTCTCTTCTCAGCTGGCTTTGGAGGAACTATGTTTCATGTTGGTGCAGGTTGGGCACTTGGGGAAGCAAATGCAAAGACTGATTTATAAATACAAAAGGTTTACTAATATTTATTTCACACCTGTGAAAGAAAAGAACTGAACCTCCCTCAACAGCCTGGCTTGGTGCCTTGTCTATAGCTTTTGAGCCATGGAAGACTGGTGGATTGCTAAGTGTGTGAACTTCACTATTTACTACAATCAACCCTGTTGTGTTATTGTGTCAGTGCCTAAGCATACCCTGTAGTACCTCCTGAGGTGGTCAGCTCTGAGAGTAAAAAGAAAAATTGACAAGCCCACCTGACACCATGAAACCTCATAGCAAAATCACAGATGAAATGACCTTCCAGATACCACATATTAAGTAGTTGAGGTGAGGAATTTCCTTCCCTAATTCCAAAATATCTCTTTCCCTTAGACTGCTAAAGAACTAATAAGACCAATTCCTCCACATCTATTTGCCAGTAAGAGAATAAAAGATCCACAAAGAGATTTAGAGACACCAACTTAGGAGAGATCAATCATTTTGTAAAATAGCCAGTGAAGAGAGAAGTGACAATTATCATGGCAGAACACAGGAAAAGCTGGCTTACACACAAGTTCTAGAGTAAAAAAGCCCAGCAAGAAGCAAGCCGATTCCTGTTGCCGAACTCCCACCAGCTCAGGAATAAGAAGCACCTGATTCTGAACTGAGAGACTGAAAACACACAACAGCTGTGAGTCATAACAAGCTCGAGCCCACAGATCTGCCTCACTCCATCCAGTCAGAGCACCACCCCACTGGCGCAGAATGGAGTGAAAGAGCAGAGTGAAAGCTTACTTCTGAGGTTAAAGTGGAGAGAGCTTGACCTCAGAGACACCAGATAAAACCTAAAGGCAAAGAATAATTTCAGTACAGCTGGAAGAAAGCCGAGGAAATCAACGAAAAGATAAGTGACAAGCAGTAGAACAAAGAAAAGTAACATATCAACATGGAGGCCTAAAACCCAATTAGATTTTTCTAGACATAAACAATGGCCATGGTGGGAAGAAAGTATCAAACAATTCTAGCAAACATTTCACAACCCAGAACATTTCGAGACCAAGACTACAAAATGCCCAAAGCAAAAAAAGACATTACCATTAAAGAAATAGCAATTTTAAAAGCTTCCTAAAGAAACAGCAAACCAGATGGTTTACCATCAAGCTCTACCGCACATTCCAGGAACAAATATTCCAACCTCAGAACTATTTCAGCGTTGGTTTCTTCTCAGGCCTTACTCTGTACCTGGAAGATGGCTGCCCACTCCCTGTGGTCACGTGGTTTCTCCTCTGCGCACGCGCACCCCTGATGTGGGTGGGTCTCTTCCCTGAGTCCTAATCTCCTCTCTTTACCAAGTCTGCTTTCAGACAGGCATCACCGACTCAATGGGTATGAGTTTGAGTCAACTCCGGGAGTTGGTGATGGACAGGGAGGCCTGGCCTGCGGCAGTCCATGGGGTCACAAAGAGTCGGACATGACTGAGCGAATGAACTGAACGGAACTAATTCAGAATGGATTAAGGTCCACTTGAACCTTCTCGTTTTAACTTAAAGGCCTTATGTGCATATCCAATCACTTCAAGGTACTGGATGTTAGAACTTGAACGTATGAATTTGGGAGTAGAGGTAGGCAAATCAGCCCATAACAATATTCCCAGTTGACAGTCTAATAATAAAAGGGAATTTATTCAGATTGTGAAGGTTATTATCAAAAAATTTATGCAAACATATTTAAATGATTAAACATTTAAAAGCCTTGGCTTTAAAGTCAGGAAAAAGACAAGATTGCCAATTATCTTGGCTTCTGTACTACCTTATACCGAACCTCCTGGAGAGAAAGCTGTTTACACAAAAAGTATAAACATAAACAATAAAATGGAAAGAATAAAGAGCTTATCTGCAGATAGTGGTTATTCGGGTAAAACCCAAAGCTACATATTAATTATTAATGTAAAAATAAAGTCTTGTTAATCCTTGAAAATCAATATAAAGTTGTGTTCCTAGTTACTTAGCTACAAAGTTAGGAGATGTATTTAAAAATAACCTTTAAAATAGACCTTTTAAAAAACCATTAAGTATTGGAAATGCGGGTGCAAATGAACAGGAATAAATGTTTTATTCAAGGAGAAATAATAAAATATCACCTTTAAATCACTAAAAAAAAAAAAAGACCTTTTAAAAGCACCTAAGAATAATCGAGTTTCATCTAGTCAAGACTGTGGTTTTTCCATTGGTCATGTATGGATGTGAGAGTTGGACTATAAAGAAAGCTGAGCGCCGAAGAATTGATGCTTTTGAACTGTGGTGCTGGAGAAGGCTCTTGAGAGCTCCTTGGACTGCAAGGAGATTCAACCAGTCCATCCTAAAGGAGATCAGTCCTGGGTGTTCGTTGGAAGGACTGATGTTGAAGCTGAAACTCCAATACTTGGGCCACCTGATGCAAAGAGCTGACTCATTTGAAAAGACCCTGATGCTGGGAAAGATTGAAGGCAAGAAGAAAAGGGGACGACAGAAGATGAGATAGTTGGATGGCATCACCAACTCGATGGACATGGGTTTGGGTGGACTCCAGGAGTTGGTGATGGACAGGGAGGCCTGGTGTGCTGCGGTTCATGGGGTCACAAAGAGTCGGGCTCGACTGAGTGACTGAACTGAACTGAAAAATAATCACAACTGATACCATCCAGGGTTCCTGGACTCCCTAATCAATAGAAATTTATATGAGGCCAGATAAGAAATTCAGGCAAATATATATTGGGACTCATGCTGCAGTATAAGGGAAGAAACATAACAATTTCGTGTGCTCACTCCCTGGGGGTGAAGGTTGGGTGAGCTGGTTTATTGTATGGAGTGAGGTGTGGGTCCAAGGGTTGGGTGGTGGAGGGTAGGTTGGGTGTTTTGCCCACCCCATTGGTGGTGCTGTGTGCAGGATGCATACATAATATCCTGCTTTGTTCCCAGCTCCTCCCAGCCAGTCTCACAACTATAAGATTTTGAGAAAAACTTAAAACTTGCATGTTTATGATCTTCATGAATGGAAAGACTGTTGTAGAGATGTGACTTCTCAAATTGATTTATAGATTCAAAATAATGACATTCAAAATCACAGCAGACATCATATTCACTCCTTAACTATCCTTAATCTAAAGAGAGTTCCCTTCTTTTTCTGAGTGAAGCATTAATCCATATTTATATACTGGCATTTATCATACTGCTTTGTGTATAGTTATTAACAGTATAAATGCTATAGCTCGTCTGCCTGGGTTTGAATCTTGGCTTTACCTCTCTCTAGTTCTGTGACTTCAGGCATGTTAGGTAACTTTTCTGTAATTTATTTACCCCGTTTTATAGGTAAGGAAACAAATGCCAACATCACTGGGTTATTAGGATTAATAGTTAATGTTATGCACTTAGAACAGTGCCTGGCACATGGTCAGTGTTATGTAACTGTTGGATGCTGCTACCATTTCTGTTCTCTTTCCCACTGGCTGAATTCCTTGAGGAAGGACACAGTGTCTTATTGGTTTGCGCATCCTTAGAGCATATGTCAGTGTCTGGCACATGTGTATGTGTTAGCTTCACAGTTACATAACCCAAAAGAAATTGGTTGGGGGGGGGGTGGTCCATGTGCCTAAACTGTGTCATGTTTAAAGAAGTTGGATTCAGTAGCCTGAGGCATTTGAAAGGGGAGATCATTCTCAACTTGTCTTGAGTATTAAATGCCCAAAGCATGATCGAGAGCAACACTTGTGAAAATACCCTTCTAATTACCTCTTTCCTCTGAGTTATTTAGAAGCCTTTGTCAACAAAATGCCTGAGATTCTTGTAACACACCATTATTGTGGTACTCCATGTGTAGAGGGTTGAGAAGATCAGATTCCTCAGCTTATGGCACCACATACTATTATTACTGGTCCATTCAGGGTCCCTCTCTTGATTTACTCCTATTATCCCTGTAAAGTGATTATCACTTCCCAAATAGGCAATTATTCTAATATTCCTAACATGTAACTCCTACTTTGTCATCTTCTGACTTTGTCCATGATGTCCCTGACTGAATAAACATTTGATGTAATCAGATCCACCAACTTTGGGCCTTAGGGCTGGTGCTTTTGAAATTAAAAAGTTCTTTCCTGCCACAAAGGCAAGATTCTACATCTTCAATGACTTCAAGGCCCTACCTTTCACTTTAGGGTCTTTTATTAATTTGGAATCTATCTTTTGTGTGTGGTGTTAGGTTGAAATGTATCTGTGTTTGTCTAGTTAACAGGTCTATCTGTAAAACAGCAGTTAATCACTATCTGCTAAACAGCTCATTCTTTCCCCACTGATGGGTGGTGGTATCACCTTTAACCTACATTTAATGCCTCTTAAGGATGACTCTGTCTCTAATTTCTCCTCTTTGTCATTAATCTCTTTATTCTTGAGCCAATACAGAACATGTCTTCCTGGCTTCTTTTTTCCCTCACGACCATTCCTTTAATGGGTGTTGGCTTTGTCGTCTAAACAACAAAAAAGAATTTTTGGAGAGGAAGGAATAGGGTATTGGATTCTCTTTAGCAGGCTGATGGAGTCAGTGAATGCCCATTTATGTTCCTTCCACATGAATTGACTATGGCACAATCCTGGTCTCCTTTTCTGCTTTTTACCTTTCTTCCACCCACCAGTGTGTCTTGCCACTCTATAACAGCCTCCAGGGCCTATAATAAAACAAAGGGAAAAAGAAGACCGTTGAGATTTAATTTTTCTTTCAAAATAAGTTATTTTTAAGTTAAATTGTCCAGAAGCAGTTACTTTTAAATCAATTACTTAAATCCCAGGTCTTTTTCTTAGAAGGAAAAGAAGGCATTATGAAGAAAACTTACATAAATGTTAACTAATTATTAATTACTTCACTATCAGTTAATTAACCTGTGTCTCAGGAACTGGGGGATTCAGGAGGGCCAGGGTTTCCACTGTTTGTCATGACCTGTGCCTGCACATTCCTTTTAATGCTGCACACAGAATGATACACTGTAATGTTTTGTATGTGAGAGGTTTTCCTTGATTGGAATTTATGTTTCTGTGGTCTTTTTTCATGCACTTAAGTGGTTTCAAGCACCCAAGATAATGAGAGCTGGAGGAGGAGACGGTATGGCATGCTCTCTGCCGAGGCATCTCATTGAATCACTCTTTGTAAACTCTCAGCTGATGGACAACCTGCAGTGCCATCTTAAGTCAAGTGAGTTCTGGGACATGTTTATTCAACTGTGGCCTCTCTTTATTCCCTCTGTGCTTGTGTATGTTCCCGCGCACATCACGGTTGACCAGAGGAGGGCATGGAGTATTTCTGGGCCTGCTGGCAGAAACAGAGGACGGATACCATGCCAGGTGTTCTACCATGTTTTCTGCTGCTCAGACTGCCTCCAAGGAAGTAGTTCGGAAAACAGAAGGATATTTGGGTTTGGTAGACATCATTCTGGCATTATAAAGGGCATCCTAACCTTGCAGCCTGAGCGATTTAGCCACTTTTATTAGTAAGCTGAAAGAAACTGTAGACCAAGGCATAGTATGATTTCTTGGGATTTCAAGGGGTCCAAAGAGCAATGGCTAACTTATACCACCATCATTACATGCTGTGGGGCAGTCATTTTATATAATTCTGATTCTGGTAGCTAAATGGTTAAGATCAAGCTTCAATAGCATATACGTAGAAATAAGTTTCAGTCAGGCACTTTATTAGCTGTGTGCCCTCAAGAAGGATCATTCATCTCTGAGACACAGTTTCCCCATCTTTAAAATGGAGATAAAATACAAATAACTGCCTCAAGTTTGTTGTGAGGATTAAATAACAATGCATTGAATACTCAGGTGCAGGCTGTTATCCTTCTCTGTCTTGAAAGTTTTGTGGGAAGCATGTGTATTGCATAAACAGTGCCTTTGACCTTGTCTGAAGAAATGGAAGAATCCTGCTTCTTCCACCACTGACCACTTAGGAGCTCAGGAAAATTACTCAACTTTGGAGTTGCAATGTCATCTTTAAAATGTTGATGAAATGAAAGAAACTAAGCAAGAGGATAAACTAAAGAGCAATGAAGAGATGACTTTTGCTGGTTGTTCTTTGGCTTTCTCTAGTGGCTCAAAATAAAATCAAAAGCAATTGTTATGCTGTGCGGTCCAGTAAAATCAGGCTGATTTT